AAGATAAAGCCTGATTTCGTTAATTGTTTAAACAAAAACACTTACACGCATGTTGTGTTGATTGTGTTAAAAGGCATTGGCTGAGTCGGTTCGCGGATTGCCAAAATAAACACTGATTTAATTAACTGCTTGTGTTGCTGATATTTATCCAACAAATAGAAAACAATTACACGTGCGTTGTGTTGTATGTGTTAGCTGTTTGCTGTGCTGATATGAGTTGCGCTGATAATTATAAAAAAATAAATAAATAAATAAAAATAAAAAAGACAAATACACCACGCCACAGAAAAAGAATTGAAGGCGGATGAACGTGCGCTGGCGGAATTAACGCTTATGATAGAACCAAGTAATTTTGCGCATATAGCAACTGCTAAATCAGCTAATGCAGCTTGGAAAGCTTTACTGGCAGCCTATGAGGATAAGGGTCTGGCTCGTAAGGTTGAGTTGTTAAAACAATTAGTCCAATTAAAGCTTTCGGACTGTGAATCTATGCCTGACTACGTTAATCGTATGGTGATGACGTCACTTAAAGTGCAAAGTGCCGGGTTAAATATCGACGATGAATTGGCGGCCTCGTTAATGCTGGCAGGCTTACCAAATGAATTTCAAGCCCGAGTTTTAGCAGTGGAGAATTCCACCACTGAACTCACCGTTGATTCAGTAAAAACATTATTATTACAAGATGCTAAATTTGATGTGAAAGGTGAAGGCAATACCTTGTATATGAAAAATAATCCGTCAAATCTTTTCAAAAAGAAATTTTATTGCCACTCCTGTAAACAGCCGGGACATAGTAGTAAAAATTGTCGCAATAAAAATAGAAAAGAAAAAACGAAAGTGCAAAAGATAATAAAAATAAAAAAGGGTACAATCCGTTATATGCATCGCTGCTAGCGAATAAAAACAGTGTCACCGACTGGTTCATAGACTCGGGCGCGACATCACATATGACAAAAGACTAACATTTGGTTTAATAAAAAAAAATAGTGTGAAACAAAGAAATAATTGTCGCGAACAATAACAAAATATCGGTCAAATGCGCGGGTGATGTAAAAATGTCGGTAAAAACCAAACCAAATGGTAAAAGCATAAATACGATAGTTAAAAACTTGGAATATGTACCTGAACTTTGTACTAACCTTCTTTCTGTGCGACAAATGACACAAAATGGCAACAAAGTGGTTTTTGAAAATGACATCTGTTTAATCTATACATATAATAAAATTGTAAAAGGTCGATGTCTGTACATTATAGATATTAAAGAAAAATTAATGTGGGGGGTCTTTATTAGAGCACCAGAAACCAAATCAACCATTTTTAGAATTTTTGTCTGTCTGTCTGTCGGTCTGTCTGTCTGTCTGTCTGTATGTTTGTTCGCGCATCACTTGAAAACGAATGCATGGATTTGAATGCAGTTTTCACCGATGTATTGATAGAGGTCTAACTTAAAATATAGGAAGAAAAAAATTAGAAAGTTGCCACCTGTTTGAAAATTGGAGTTTAAGTAAATTGATAAGAAAAATTAATTTTGCAATATGGGCGGCAAAGGAAAGAGGCTGAAGAAGGCTTACAGCCAAAAATATTTTTTTAGAGTTGCCACAAATTACACTTAAAATTTACACTTAATTTAATTTATAAGATAAATTGAATATTGCAACATCGGTATCAAACTGAAGGGGTTTAGGAAATTTTATTGCGGAAAATATTTTTAGGGGGGCTGCCACCTGTTTGAAAATTTTTATTGTATTAAATTGATAAAATAAATGAAATCTATATCTACATCTATACATACATATAATAAAATTGTAACAGGTCGATGTCTGTACCTTATAGATATTAAAGAAAAATTAATATGGTGGGTTTTTATTAAAGCTACAGAAGCCAAATAAACAATTTTTAGAATTTTTGAATCTCTGTCTGTCTGTATATTTGTACGCACATCAGTCGAAAACATGGAATTGAATGCAGTTTTCACCGATGTATCGCTAGAGATCTAGCTTCCAATATAGAAGAAAAAATTTGAGAGTTGCCACCTGTGTTTAAAATTTCAGTTTAGGTTAATTGATACGGTAAAGTGAATACTGCAATATGGCTGTCAAAAGAAAGAAATTTACAAAGGCTTACAGCTGAAAATATTTTTGTGGAAGGTTGCCACCTATTTGAAAACTTTAATTTAATTTAATTGATAGCATAAATTAAATATTGCAATATTGGCATCAAACTAAAGAGGCTAGGAAATTTTAATGCTGAAAATATTTTTAGGGGATTTGCCAACTGATTGAAAAATTGTATTCATTAAAATTTGTAAAATAAATGAAATATTGCAATACGAATATTAAACTAAAGAGGATTAGGAAGCTTACTTTTGAAAATATTCTTGAAGCGGGTTGCCACTTATTTGAAAACTTTAATTCAGTTAAATTTACTATATAAACTAAGTGTTGCCATATGGGTATCAAACGAGAGTATTTGAGAATAATAAAATTGCAACAGGCCGATATCTGTACATAATAGATGATAAAGAAAAATTAATAGGGGGTTTATTAGATCAACAGAAGCCAAATCTAAAATTTCGGTATGTTTGTTTGTATGTTCGCAAGCGCATCACGCAAAAGCTAATGTATGGAATTAAATGCAGTTTTGCTAGAGCTCTAATTGAAAATATAGAATCCATTTTTTTTTTTTTTTTGTTTATCGTCGATCATTATTCCTAGGTATTTGAACGTATTAACTTTTTCCAGTGCGTCGTTGTTTATATTTAGAGTTAGCAACGCACCGTTCTCAAAATTTCGCCTTGATATAACCACAAACTTAATTTTTTTTTATTTCTGTTTGGAAGGGTTTTCGCTAAAAAAAATTTAAACTTTTCGTTGTTGCTGCCAAAAAAATTAAGAAATCTGAGACGTTACGTTTTACAATTTCATACAGTTCTCTTTACAATGCATTTCACTAAACTACTAAACGGCTGCATCGACTTGGTTCATATTTGGCAACACGTTGAAAATAAATATTCTGACCAAAAATTTACTCGGTATTTAGCTCGGGATATTCCTAAAATTCTTATACAGACTAAAACGTAAAAAACCAATATATCACTAAAACCAATTACGCTGGGGAACTGAAACTTAGCACTGATGCATATATTGCAAATGCATTGGGAAAGGGGGCGTGGCTCCTTCCTTCCATACAAACTGAACTTCTCATATAGCTTATCTCTGGAACTGCTTACGCTAACGTCCTGAAATTCTACACAGCTACATATGTTATCAATACCGTAGTTATGGCGAAAAGTGATAATTATTGGAAAGGCTGGATCGATATACATTTACGTAAACGCGCAAGTATCACTCGATTGGGAACCATTTTCTCCTAGATTTATAAATCCCATTGAACTATTCTAACTTTGTCTTTAATTTTCAGTAAGGTAAAATTTTTGTGAAAATTTTGAAGAATTTTTTTAAGTTTTTCACAAAGAATGGAGCTTTGCTTTTACGAGTTTCGCTATAAACTGTCCTATCTACATACCTATTTGCATAAAATGATAGCCGTTTTCGTTGTTCGGAATAAACTCAAAAAACACTGAATAGAGTTCCGTCAGATTGTCGGAGGTTATCTTACATACATATATGGTCCAATTACATGCTACTATAAAACTCGCTAGGTGGTGCTGGAGTAGAGTTATTTATAAAAATCGTATTTATTAACCGATTTCGTTCAAATTTTAAATGTGAGCTATGTACCTGTATGATAGAAAATTCTTTTGATAAAAATTTACCCGATTAGTGCCGCTGGAGTTAAGGTAGAAATTCATAACACGTATTCATTTTATGGTAAGCAATGGTTTTGCAGAAAATAAGCCCAATGGATGGCGCTGCAGCCGAAATGTATAGAAACCCCGTGTGGTTGGCCTGCTTTGGACCTATGTTTAAGTTATACGAATTTAATTTTGAGATGTCTAAATGAAGAATGGGGTTAAGTTTTTCTGACGCCCTCATGCACGATCATGCGGTCTTGCATCTACCCAGAAATCAGTTAATACATTTTACCACGAATTGTAAAAGTGGTGAATTAACAAGGAAAAATCACCGTATTTAGGTATATCAATTGCTTCATTTGAAAGATACTTAAGCGATCATTTAGCAATGTCCCGGAAAACTTTTCATCCTGTGGGACAGCGAGGACTCTTGGCCCTCCTATAAAGAAAACCCACTTCTGTACTCTTGAGTTTCCCTATAAGAACTTTTATTGGCATACGCATCGCACCAATGTTGTAGTTGCAAGATCATACAAAAAGATTACGCATGATTGGCACAGATCTCACAGGTGGAAATAAGGCCATCAGTAAAGCTCATGACACCAAAAGGGAAATGGTATTCCATATGGTACCACCGCGTTACTATTATTGGCCTATGTGTGAGGAGGATACTGCGCCTTAGTGGTTTCAACTTAAATCAAAAATGAGATATTAGCGAGTGCCTGTGTAGTTGATGATTTATACCGTTTAAATTGTAATTCTACTGAAATGCCTGAGAGCCAAGAACGTGTATTGGCCGCCATGAACAGTGAACTTTGGCACCGTAGACTTGGCCACATGTGCCATGAAAATTTATGTGCAGTGAAAAATGCTTGCGACGGTATAGACTTTTGTGAAACAAACAAGACTAAATGCGTAACCTGTGTAAAAGACAAGCAAACCAGATCATCATTTAAAGATGCTGGAAAACGCGCGGAATCAGTTCTCGACTTAATTCACTCAGATGTCATTGGACCAATTAATATTAAATCGTTTTCGGGCGCGCGGTTTATATTAACATTTGTTGACGATTGTTCGCGTAACGTATTTGTTGTGCCTATAGAGAAAAAATCAGACGTGTTACATANTTAACATTTGTTGACGATTGTTCGCGTAAGGTATTTGTTGTGCCTATAGAGAAAAAATCAGACGTGTTACATAAATTCATCAAATAATCATAAAACCCTTGTTGAAAAGCAATGTGGTCGCAAAATTAAAGTGTTACGTACCGATAACGGAACTGAATACGTAAATAAAGAATTCGAACAATATACAAATAAAATTGGCATCTTACATCAAAAAACGTGTCCATATACACCGCAACAAAACGGTGTTGCAGAGCGGATGAACCGTACTTTAGCAGACAGAGTGCGCTGTATGCTTATCGATTCGGGGCTGAGTGAAAAATTCTGGGCAGAAGCAATTGTGACCGTAGCGTATTTGTTAAACCGTATGCCAACTAGAAACGATGTACGCAGCCCTGAGGAAATTTGGTCTAACAAAAGGCCAAATCTGAAACACATTCGTATCTTCGGCTGTAAGGCAAGGGTCATGTGCCAAAAGAAAAACGGTCGAAATTTGCCCCGAAATCGATCGAATGCATACTGGTTGGGTACTGTGGACAGGCAAAAGGCTACAGATTGCTAAACTCTCAAACTAACAAAATAATAGTTAGTCGCAACGTAATATTCTTTGAAGCAGAAGACAAGGTAAATGAAATAATAGAACCAAAATTAAATCTTCAATCATTTATCGCAGATGTCTCTGAAGATGATGGCGTCGAAATTAGCAGCACTAACAATTCTGAGGGGGAAGCTGAAGAAGAATCGTCAATTGCAAATGAGTCCGCTGATGCCATGAACACTCCTCCCGACGAAATCCATGATGACACATTCACACCTGCTAGAATTGCCACAGTTATAGAGGGCGAACTTCGGCGACCGCGTATATTAATAAACAACCTTGATGACGAGTTGGACGATACAGTTGAATTTGCCGATGCCATGAACGTTCCCGATGATGTAAATGATGAAACATTCACACCCAACCAAGATGTCACAGTCGCGGAAGGCGAAATTCGGCGGTCAGAACGAGTTCAAAACAAGCAAAGACCGGGCTACAATTTCTCTGCAATCGAGTATGTTTCAAATGATCCAGTGACATGTCTATAACTTCCTGTTCAATAAAATCTCTCTCTTGTGTTTTTCCTAAGCTTACACCAATCACACGCGTTTTACTCTCTGCATCTAATTAACTATTTCAACAGTATGTTATGTTATGCTATGAAATATTCTGTTATGCTAAGTACTAAGTTAAACTCCCCTCCACCTAACCCATTCCAACTAATATTATTTCAACTCAACTCACATAAACTATTCCTAATTTTAGTGGTTGAGTTTAAACCGCTTGGCGAATACTAGTTTGATGAACTGCGGGAGCTNCAACTCACATAAACTATTCCTAATTTTAGTGGTTGAGTTTAAACCGCTTGAATACTAGTTTGATGAACTGCGGGAGCTGGACAAGGACAAGAAGGCAAAAACTTGCTTTTTCAGAGGGTTGAGTGTAACATCAAGCACATTTTGCACCGTACAAGGGCAAAATTTTTTGGTAGAAACGAAATCACTATTTCGTCGCCTGGGTAAAAGATTGTCGTAAGCGTCATACGTACATGCGTAACATACGACAATCTTTTACCCAGGCGACGATTTGTCAGGGGAGATGGTTCCCTTGAAAATCAAATGGTTGTTTAAAACGACAATATTATGAAATGTGTGAGCTAGAGAAGGACAAGAAGCCCTTTTTACAGGGTAGAGTGTAACATCACACCGGGGAAGCGCAATATCTTTTGGAGGAAATGAAATAACCATAATGCAATTTACCCACGGCACCGTGAACTACTTTGTTCGCTCCTCCAACTACGATCGCGAATTACCCCATTCACAAGGCCACATTCTTAATTCGATTTTACAATTCTCTGTATCTGTGTTTTGTTTTTGTTTTCCTCGCTGGAAAATTGATGCAAATTGTAGTGCCCTTTAGCGGAACCAGAGCAAAATGGAGGGAACAATTTTGAGAGTTGTATCAATCCACGCGTCTTGACGCCAATAATAATAATCCGAGACCGGAACTTAACATTTTTAATTCATTAAAGAGTTATTTGCAAAAAACACTTGCACTTTTCGCACTATGTTTTGATGAATTTCATGCAAATAAATGGAGTAAATGAACTCACCTTAACAGGTATTTATAAGTTGTTATACATTTGTGATGTTTTAAGTGTAAATTTTCACGAAATTCTGTATATAATTGCGAAATTCCAATGTTGAAAATCCGCACAAACAAAACCTTTTTTAATACAGTGGCAGCAGCAATTTGCATCCATTTTATTTTTAATAGAGTGGCAACACCAATTTCCCTCCATCTTATTTATATTAACTTCAGAAAATTGTTGTGCGGTTTGCAACATTGGAATATTGCAATTAAATACAGAATTTCGGGAAAATGTACACTTAAAACATCACAAATATATAAAAACTAAAAATTACGTGTTAAGTTTAGTTCATTTACTCCATTTATTTGCGTCAAATTCATGGAAACATATACTACGTTTATGCGACAGAATTCATGAATTCTTCAGCGAGAAACTAAACAGTAGGGTTGAGGCTTTTTTGCCTCCTTTTGAATTTGAAAAACCTGTTGGTACCAGGAAATGAATCATATCATATTTAAATTGGTTTTAATATATTTTCATTTTAATCTAGTTGAATTTATTATATATTTGAACAATTCCACGTAACTTTTCCAGTGTTGTAAGTCTGTTTATGCCACTCATGCTATTTAATCTAAAAACATCATAACCCTAGTAAACAGCTGTTTGTGAAACGTGGCGTTGCCGAACTTGCACTTGACGATTTCATGAAATGATGCCGAATTAATGGTTAACTTTCGTGTATAATTGAATTCATTAAATGGTGTTTATGCAGCCAATTTTAGCCCAAATTCATGAAATGAATTCGTGAATTAGCCTACGCATAAACGTAGTAATAGTGCAAATAGTGCAAGTGTTTTTTGCCAATAACTTTTTAATTAAATAATGATGTTTATATCCGGTCCCGAATCGTCTTTATTCGCGTTAAAACGTGTCGATTGATACCCCTCCTGAATTTTTTGGTAAATTTTGGCCTGGTTCCGCTGAAGCGCACTTTTATCAAGATTTATAAGTTCCCGTATTAAATTAGGGATATACACACTTATAAATTTTACTTTTCGTACTCAGAAAAATGCAACTTTTCATTTGTGGGCTAGTTTCGATAAATTTCCGATAAAAAGTAGAGACGGCACCGATTTGTTCGTAATTCGCATAGCAATTGGTTCTGAATTAACAACAAATGAGGTAATCCGCTCTCAAAATTTTGTATGGCGAATTCGAATTCGAAGGGTAATTGGAGTGCGAATTACGAATGAGAGAGCGAACTACGTAATTGCGGTGCCATAAGCTGTGTTCGATAACAATTAGCCAACACTAGCCAACAATAAAAATCAAGAGCTTTAGCGAAATTTCCTTCCCAAAGAGAAGAAAAAGCAAAAAGTAAACGAACAGGAAATAAGCCATCACTTGCAAAACCCGGAAGAAGTGGACACACACGAGCTGAGCTTGTTTATGTTTTATTTGTAAACAAACTTAAATTCATGTTGCCTCCATGGGAGGAAAAAGGAAAGTGAACATTCAATTTTAGCCAGGAACATTTTGTCGCGTACACGTGTCGCCCCTTGTCAGGCCACCGTTGTGGTTGCCCAGGCTAGCTCAGTAAGTAGGTGGTCGGGATCCTTAACCCTTGCCACAATGGTGCCGGGCGGACGTGGCGACTCGTTCACTGGCATATCTCACCCACAGGAAGCCCACCCATTCAAGGACCGCCTGATGTGTCTCCTTGCGGCCTCCCTTTTGCTATGATCCAATGCCCAACTTACCCCCTTGTCGTCTGTGCCTCCCCTGCTTAAGGGATCAAGTCCACATTTTAAATTCTTTTACAAACATACATTAAAATTTATTATCAAACATTATATAAACATTATAAGAATTTGAAAACACGAAAAAAAGGAAATAAATTTAAGATCGGTTTCCGGCCACCACAACAAAAAGGAACCAATCAAATAAATCTCCAGCCGTCATCGATTCGCCAACAGTTAGCGAGTGGCGAAACGAACGAACTCAATGAGGTACAACCAAACTCGCTATCGTCTATCCGTGCTAGGTAACTTTGTTGTTGCTTTCACATGCAAATTTCTTCTTTAAGCGACCGGAACTCAAACATAGCGAGCGAGAAGTGGCGAATCGATGGCGGCTTCCGTTTGTATACGTATGTCAAGCAAACAATATAGAAAACCTGCCACCCTACCTACAAGAGCTCTTTTCGGATGGTGTGAAGTGTTTCCGGGAGCCGGATATTCCCCGCTCAGAAACTACTAAAATGTACCCTTTTGTTTGGGTTCTTCTTGCCTGGCGGGCACAAAGACAATAAAAAAAAAAACGAAAGTATAAGTATGTACAAACTTCTTAACAAATTATCTAAGTAACGAAAATGTATGAACATATATATTACACATAATTCGATGTTCTAAAAAAAATTAATATTTTTGGGACTATACTTGGGACACGCAGTGTAACATTTATTCCCAATGATTGGGTTATAACATGGCGGTGGTGGTCTTGACTGACTCTTACACAAACCGGAAAGCTGCTTATTGCTCCTCGATCAGAGCTTTCAAAAAATTCCTTTTGGCAAAATATCCCTCACGCAAAAGCTTTGTACGGAATTCTACTATACTTAAGCCTAGCACTCACCAGCGAACTGTGCCGTACCCTTTTTGCCTTCACACTGGGGTGGTTCACCTTAATCTCCTGGCACAGTGTCGCTGGGGGGTTCTTCCACGGGTCTAATTATTTGGGCCTTATCTGGTCGTCACCGGTGCTGACTAATCCTCTTGCCTTGGTGAGGGTAATCTCGGCTTCTGATCGTCACGTTCTTCCGGGCGCTTAAAGATGATTGTGGGCTCTTCGCCTACACTCCTCACAATTCTTTTTTTTTTGTTTAAATAAAAAAAATGTTTGCACGTTACTGAACTTGTACAAAATGCTGCCAAAAAAACACAAAGGCTCAACTTGCGCACACTGTATGATCGTTGCAATGACACCGGCGATTCTTTTCTTGCGGAACTCAGCCGACCCCCTTTTAAAGGCTATTTGCCAGGCCCCCATGTCTTCTAAACACCGTTCTTTCCGCTTTTTTCAGTGTTCACGATCCGGCCAATCANAATGACACCGGCGATTCTTTTCTTGCGGAACTCAGCCGACCCCCTTTTATAGGCTATTTGCCAGGCCCCCGTGTCTTCTAAACACCGTTCTTTCCGCTTTTTTCAGTGTTCACGATCCGGCCAATCGTGGTATCGCGCACCCTATTGCTATCCCTCTCCTCGAGATTTTCCCCAAACTCTCCAAACTACAACTTTAGTCTGGCAACATCTGCCCATCAAAAGCTTCATAATTTCCCTTTTTGGCACTTCTGCTTTGTTTGACGTTTCTTCATGAGAACAAAAATAAAATAGCGCTGGATAAGTAAATAAAACATGGTATTTTAATTTTAATGATTTATTATCGGCATTAACTCTTTTCAGGTGGTCCAGGGATAGCTACTGTGATATTTAGGCAAACGCCCAACGTGCGGAACGCCCATACCCTGACACGGTCTCCTGCCTCGAGAGCTAAGTCGGGTATGTGTTGATGCCTTTGCCGGTTGCCATTATTCTACGGGAAGTTTGGAATATCTAACTTTATGCGAGGAGTTTACTTTGTGCATATTTGCAGGTTCTTGGTGCGCCGTTTGATGTGGCTGGTTCCTCCCCGGACAACTTGACCCGCAAGCGATTCCAAAAGGTACATATTATTACCGAGTGCTTTTGCCATGCGACACTTTGTGAATTTTTTGCAAAATTTTGCGTTTATGTTTCTTTTGAAGTCGCTTAGAACAAAAATGCGTTTGTATACTTCTTGGCCGGGCCTGAAGCTAACTTCGCGAATTCTTTTGTTGTACCGTGCTGCATTCGTTTCATAAGTGTCGTGCATGTTTTCTTTAATCTTCTCGCGCATTATTCGGATTTTATCGCTATTGTCTAGTAGATAAATTTTTTGGTATTTTAATTTTAATGACTTATTATCGGCATTAACTCTTTTCAGGTGGTCCAGGGATAGCTACTGTGATATTTAGGCAAATGCCCAACGTGGGGAACACCCATACCCTGACAATTTCTAGAAGTAAAACCTAGTTAGCGCTATCATAAGGTCACATAGCAGGCAGCTAAAAATCGTATAAATACCCACACTTGAAAAATTAAATTTGGTTATTTACAAAAATTGCAACCATATGTTTTCGTGATGGATAATTTTTGCTGGCTAAAATTTCGCCAAAAATGAACACTTGCTCTCTCAATTTTTGTGTGTTGGATAATTTTTTGTCGTTATCGAACGCCACCCAGTAAAAATTTGGAAAAGCTATTAAAAATTTTTGTGTTGTCGAACGCATCTATAGCATGTCAACATTTATACGTTTTAGTTGTGACCTTTTTTCGTTTACTATTAAAGCTGCTTTACTATGCATTCGTTCCGATTCTACTGGGCCTCTATTCTGTAACATTGAGAAAATGTAGTGTACACCGAGTGCAATACTCACAACCATCAGCGTAGCCAGACTGAAATTTAGGGCGGGGTCGACCCTATTAAGCTGGCATTTCAGGGTACTATTTTATATATATATAAGGAAAATTTGAAAGTTAGGGGGGGGAGGCTCGAGCACCCCCAGCCCCTACCTGGCTACGCCCATGCTCACAACCAAAAACTCACGGACTAAAATTAAGTAAGTTTTTCAAAAGCGAAGTGTACACAATTTTGACACTTAAAACTCATTCTCACACATGCTGAATCGCAAAATGAGGAAGTTTACACCATTTTGACAGCTAAAACTCATTCTCACTCTTCCTGAATCGCAGAATGAAAGTGCACACAATTTTCAGTGTACACTTGAAAACTCGCGGTTACAGAATAGAGCCCCTGATGACGTTAGGCCAACATAGTTGCCATATATTCTTTTATAAAAGTACTGCCGCTTTATAAATGTACATTCACTATGTTTGTGTCTTATATTTGGAAAATTTTCGTAAAAAAGTGGTTGCCCGATGCGATTTCACCTTTTGCGTTCAACTCACGTAGGGTTGCACGTAAAATAAAGTTAAATGACTAAATGTTGGCTGGCGACCAATGTTGTTTAATGCGATTAGTTGAATGGCCATTCAACCAAAAGTAGAATGCAAAGTCGAACAATGCAAACGCCGTTTTATGGGATATTTTGATATTCTTATATTTTGATATTAGGTGCGTTCGCGTAGCTGTTAATTGTTCAAGTTTAACCAAAACTTACAGGTTTTTGCGTTCGCGTACGCAAAAAACTTGCAAAGTAGGGTAAATTGAGAGACCAAAGTGACATTCCATTTTGAGGGGAAGCTGTTAGTTTCTGTTGGAAACATTTTTGCCAACAGCAATTTGCCAACAGGGAAACAGCTGATCAAAAACAGCTGGTTGGCATTTACGAAAATCACAAAATTGAATTTGATGGTTTGGAAGATAAAAATTACAAAATGCGACTAATTAAACTTGTAAGAAATAAGTAGTTATTTGTTTAATCAATAAACTGTGTCAGTATAACACTTTGCGA